GTCGTGTAGTCTGGTAGAAGTTTACAGAAGTTACAGAGGTCCTTGCTGCCTCTATCATCAGGGCGACTTCTACCAGACTACACGTCGTAACAACCCAGAAGACAGATATCTTCTGAAATTAGTCTTCATAATACGTGACTGTGATAAATAGACTTATAACGTAATCGCACATAATAAGAGCGATAGGTCGCCTTTGCTATCCAGTCTGGTGATACAAGTATTTAGCGACTGCAAAATTTAGGAAAACGTTTTCGGTCGAAAGAGGAAAGACGGACGATGGAAGAATGTAATGTAAACCAGGAATAAATTTTAGAATTCAGTGTTCTATTTCAGCCAATAATTCACACCGATCTAACGTCCATCAAACGAAAATTTGACATATCCATGACCACTTTGAAGACACTCTGTGATATCTGGATGATGGCATTACTAAAATTTATGTGAAACGTCACGCAGACTACATGACAGGACTTCCATCTTTTTTTTATATGTGACAAGAATCCAAACCAACTTCATTAAAAACACGTATGCTACATATTCCTGAAATCAATAACTCTTTTATTGAGGTTATAAAACGAAAAAAAAATGACTTGTCTCAATGCAAAGAGCAACAAATCTGGGACGTCCACTGTTTTATTCCTTCCAAATTTTCAGTTCCTGGATTCTGACTTTTATCCCCTACAAACAGTTCAGAATCAGTCTGCGGGGTTTCGAGTTCAGATTCAAAAAGATTTCGTGTCATAATACAATTTACAAAGCCGGAATAAAACCATAAAAGTTCCTACTTCTCTAACGTAACTATTGTAACACCCAGTTAATTAACATTCTCATTAACACTGACTTTAAACATTACATTACATTTTTGAGGTAGTCATTAGCTACTAAGAAAACGAATAAAGTCCTTAATTATAAGTCGAGGAAATTCGCTTTTGACACACGCTTTCACGCTGTGCAAAAAACCATTGAAAGATTTTACATAAATAAAGTAGTTTTGGGAACCGAATTCCCTAAGCGACGTATAAAAAAATTATATCAAAAGATAAACTACAGACGCCAGACAATTTTGTAGTCACTCATGAATAAAATCTGAAATCTGAGCCATGAGGTAATGAGCCAAGGTCTGAGTGGCTTCTTCTCTGCTTCGAATTTACATGAAAAGCAAAGCAAAGCCATGAGAAAGGCAGTCAGTCGGTCGAATCATACTGCCCGCAGGAATTCTTACGTCAACGCGATGCCTCTTACAGTCGGACGTCAAACACATCTTTTGAGACTTCTTAGAAACGTCGAGTGGAACTAACACGTATAATCTTGTTCACGTGCTCCTTAAACTTTCCGAAGATATACAACAAATGCGATAAAGTTGTTATCAGTTCACTTGTATCATCAGCACGATACAAAATCATCTACCCAGAGGCCATGGATATAATTTAACGACGTTCCGGACTCATCTCTCTCCCTCTCTCTTTTTCGACGTCTGATGGAGAGGGATTTGAGTCTCTCAAGGACGTTTTAAGCGCTGAATGGAAATCTAAAAAGGGTCCTATGTTGGTTCAGAAGGTTTAAATGAAAAAAGGAACCTATATTTGGAACTGCTTCGACTAACACCGCAAAATATCGTCGACAGCCGTTGACATGCGTGGGAATTTCAGTCTGTCCTTCCAAAATTTAAAAAGAAAATGATCAAAGACCCCTTTAATTCACTCAAACTGACGGACAGAAATGAACAGTTATCAACATAACGCACCAGGATGCTATACCACGGGCCTTTCCGTCTCTCGCTGTTAATGAAGAAAAGTCCTTAAGTCTAAAACATTTGGTACGCACCAGATTTAAAACTATTTTGAACTCTTCCGCAGACTTTCACATTTATGTCAGTCCGTGGTCTAGGCAACACGGAGTTTTGCTCCGTGGCATCCCACCAATTACTCCATTCACACACAGAAGAAGGCAATTGCAAACCACTTCTGGATCATCTGCCAAGAACGTATATGAACAGGTCCCAGTCCGAGAAAAGGATGGAAGGATCCTGTTCATATGGACCTGTCGTCAGACAGAACACTAAATAAAATAAATAAGAGAATTTTCCTAAATTTCCATGCTGCTAATTTATTACTTTCAAAACACATATTAATGAAGCAATTCGTGTGTAAAGAATCGTACAAAGTGAACAATCATTGAAGCCATGAAGCCAGTAAGATCGCCCAAAGCGGACTACCTTATAAACAACGGGTAGTTTCCTTGTGCGCGCTGACATTCATTTGAATTTTATTTAAAAAAAAGTTCCACTTGAAGATTCGAAGAAATCAATTGTCTCGAAGGCAAAAATAAAAATAAGTTAGGGTTGAGCAGGGATCGAAGCAGGGGGCAGCTAGGTCGGTGGTGAGTACAAGGTGTAAGGTCAATTTACGGTTGGGTGAACTGAGATAATTTGGAATAGAGTTCTATGTATCTGGAGATTAAACGTAAATTCACTGAGAATTCCAAGTAATTTATGGATGCTGAAAGTTTAATTAGGCTATATTTCACACTAAGCACTGATATGATCTACTTATATTAATCGCCCGAGAGAGAAACGTCAGGTTATAACTCCATTATCGAAGATTTAATTTATGAATCTTCGGTTTTCACTTTTAAAAGTTTCTCTCTATTCCATAATCTTGTAACGATTCGCGGTCGAATACGACCGTACTCTCAGAGACGATATCACAGGAGTGCTACTTAGAGAAGGGTCCTCTGTTCTATTGTCTCCTTGAGACCTGTCCCTCCAAATTAGCATCACCGAGGGCTAAGTCTACCAACGTTTCATCGGCGTTCGCTGCTTCCATCATCAGAGCGATGAGTAGCTATAAATCCAAACCAAAGAGATGCAAAGAAGCTTACCAACGTTTCGATGGTCTTTGCTGCCTC